GCGTGCGACCTCCCTCACGCACACTGCTGCTGCCACAGCCACTACTGCGCATGTCGCAGCTGCCATTTTGATTTCCAAAATGGCGGCCGTGACTCGTTTGTGCATGCGCAGTACTCCTGCTCATGCGCAAACACGTCGCGGCCGCCATTTTGAAAATCAAAGTGGCAGCTGCGGCGCACATGGCTGGACGGAGGCGAAAACGTGCCGCAGTGGCAGCGTGCTGTAGCGGTGACAGCAGTGGGGGTCTGCCTGGGCCAGAACTGGCCTGGGGGCCGTAGGTTGCTGGCCCCTGACTTACATCAATGACCTTGTTGGATACTTTTTGCATGCACTTTACAATTTGAGGCCACAAAAACATAGGAAGGCTAAGAATGAACTGTGAGACTGGTATTTTCTGCACTTTGATTTTCTTTGTTTGCTCTTCCATTGGTCTTGACTTGGGGGAAGTTACACCTCAGCCCGAGTTCCCTATATGTCCAGCGACAGGAATTTGATTTGGAACCTTTCAGGAAGGGAACTTTAAAAAAATAAAATAACCCCGCAGAGTCTAGGTCAACAACGTAGCCATGAAGTAGCCCAGCTACCCTCTTCCTTGCAACCCACATGCCCTGTACAACTTAACCAGGTAAGTGAAGCATCCAGTGTTGTCAGTACCTTTCCCCCATGAAGCCATGCTTGGAAAGAAGCATGCAGAGGGATGGCCAGCCTTTTTATTGTCTCTGACTCCACCACACGCACAGCATCCATCCCAGGCATGTTACACCTCTGGTCACCCTCCATGGAGGCCATCAAAAGTGGCCCTTCACTTGCATCACCATGCACCAGAAGGTTCAGAATCACATTGATGTGATTGTCAGCTATGGAATAAGTCTGTGTAGAATTTGTTTGGTGCTCCAGTTCCACCATTGCTTGTGAGGGGATGCTGGCCCTTATCCGCAGAAGGGCTGGAATGCTTCTCTACTGTGTAGCATCTGCTGCATCATTTACCATCAATAAAGCTTAGCATGCATCAATGTCCAGTACTGAAAGAACCCTTGGAGAGGCCTGGAACTACATCCAGTTCTGACACTGGACAAAAGTCAATGATGGTGAATACTGGGAAATGGAATTCAACAATATCTGGGAGACCTCATGAGGATCATCCTTGCTGAAAGTGCATTAAACTGAGAAAACATACGTTCGTATTTGCTGGGGTTTGGTTCCAGGACTCCTCCACATGCCGTTAAATACAATGGCATAGTAAATTGGTATCCCTTATATAAAATGGCAAAATCAAGGTTTGCTTTTTGAATTAAAAAAAAATATTTTCAAGCCATGGGTGAATAAAGAACCCATGGATATGGAGGGATACACTAGTGCTGAGGGTTTGTAACATCAAGATAGATGTTGGATTTGTGGGAAGGGCCTGGTTGTACAACTTTGAATGTCCGTTGCAGAAATGTTGACTGAAATTACATCATGACAGGACAACTTATATTTATTTTCCATGTGGTTAGTTCACAGTAGAGTCCCAATCCTTTGTTTGCTGGTGCGCTGTATCCTTTGCTCCTTTATGGCTTAAAAAAACAAGTACAAATAAGAGATGGATCTGCCTAACTCCACAGAAACTATGGAGAGAGGAGCAAAAACATTTATTCAAATTTGAGCTGATGCCAAAACATAAAACTGTAGTGCTGTGGTGCTTTAAGTATGACTGGTGGTGTAAGAACCAGAATGGCCAGACATTCTCCTTTTCAGGCCAGGTCCTACATTTCAACCTTCAAAATGTCCACCATTTTGAGCATGACTAAGAAGCTGTGGTTCCTAGACTTTGATCCTCCTGGTGTTTTAGACTCATTTCCCAAGAAGTCTGAGCCGGCTTGACTAACAGTCAGAAATCCAGGGAGCTGATGTCCAAAACATCTGGAGGACCACAGTTTGGGAACCTCTGCTCAGGAGCATGAATGTATCTTGAAGAGTGTTTTTAGTTTTTATTTGGTTAAGGCCTCCATTTCTCTCAAATACTCTACATTTAATGGTGCCTTGTCCTTTGCGGTGAGGATACCGGGCCACTCTGGGAAGGAGCGGATGTGAACAACACAACATGAGGACCTATTGTGGTCTCTCTTGTGTTGGTGGTATCTTTGGCTATTTACAGCTCATGACTCTTGAGAAAAAGCTGACAGGGTCCAAAGCAGGGGTAGGCAACCTTTTTGAGCCGGGGCCCGGGTTGCTGTCCCTCAGACAATTGGGGGGCCGAAGCACCATAAATAAATAAATAAATAAATAAATAAATGAAAATTAAAATTTAAAAATTAAAAAAATATGCATGCACACTCTCTCAGCCCCAGAAAAACCATGGTAAACCCCCTGTGGAGATTTTGCCAAGAAAACCCCAAGAACAAGTAGTAACAACAATAATCAATATCATAATGGCGGGCAACAGCGGAGGTGGGGGGCGGCGGCGGTGGCGGTGGCAGGACCATGGGGCCGGTCCAAAGGCCTCGGGGGGCCGCATCCGGCCCCGGGCCTTAGGTTGCCTACCCCTGGTCCAAAGAAACAGATTTTCTTGGGAGTGGTCTTGTCACGGAAGAAGAGAGGAGGCATGGAAAGTGGGGCACCCTCACACTTGGGCTTGCCAAGGCCCTGTGGTGTTGTGTCATGGAGGCACCTCTGAGGAAAACACTAGGGACCTTATCACACAGGGGAAATCCCACGCAGAAACAGGATTTAAAAGGTGGGAAAAGAACCCACAAAAGCGGGTAGATTTTCACACACATCGCTGTTAAAGTGTGGTTAATCCAAACAGAAAGTAGTCAAAAGCAGCTCCTTTTTACCTTTGGGATTTTCTGAAAGTAAAAAGAAGCGGATTTTGACTACTTTCCGTTCGAGTTAACCACACTTTAACAGCGACGTCGTCTGAAAATCTACCTGCATTTGTGTTTTTTTTCCTATTTAAAACCCCATTTCTTCACAGCATTTGCCCTGTGTGATAAAGTCCTAGGCCTGACTGATGCGTTGGCAAGGGCTAATTGGGAAGGTTGATGCTTGGCAGGTCTTTTCCCGTCCTCCAACTCTTCCTTACTCACTCAGCGCATCCTCTGCATCCGCACTGCAGAAATAACCCGGTTTGACACCACTTCAGCTGCCACTGGCTCTGTGCTATGGAATTCTGGGAACGGTCATTTGTTGTGCCACAACAAATGATCATTCCCAGAATTCCATAGTGTAGAATTGGTGTCAAACCAGGTTACTTCTGCAGCGGGGATGCAACCTTAGGTCCAAAACACACTACAGAAATAATCCAGTGGCTCAATACTAGGGAAATTTGGGCAATGTAGTTTTGTGTGACATTTAGCCTTCTCTGTCAGAGAGAGCTCTGAGCCCACAATCAACTACGGGGGGTTGCAGACTGCCAGAAATAGTGCAAATTGATCCACTTTTAGGGTTAGGGTTAGGGTTAGGGAATCATGGGAACTGTATTTTATTGTGGCTTCAGAGCTCTCTGACAGAGAAGGCTCAATGTCTCAGAAAAAAAAAATAATTTCCATGATTCCCTAGCACTAACCCTAACCCTAAAAGTGGACTCAATTTGCACTATCCCCAGGATTCCCTAGCACTGAGCCAGGGAAGTCTCAAACTGGATTATTTCTGCAGTGTGGATGCAACCTTAGCCTGTTTTTGTCTTGTCCCAGTGACGGAGGCTGCAGCTTCGTCCTGGTGCCACCACAAATGACCATTCCCAGGATTCCATAGCCATGGAGCCAAGGCATTTAAAGCGCTCTTAACCCAGATTATTTCTGCAGTGCAGATGCAGCCATAGAGGCATGCAGTTGCCCTCCTAGGAGGCAGGCAGGCAGGCAGAAGAAGAAGAAGCAGCAGCAGCCACAGGGCTTAGCTCCAGAGTGTGTGCGCCTGCGTGTGTGTTGTATGTGTGTGAGAGTGTGTGAGAGGCAACACAACCGTCTGTTTTGGAGAGCTGCAGTGCTACAGGAGTCCCACTTCTTTCCCCTCCTGGTTTTTTTCTTTTCATTGCCAGCAGCAGCACTAACAGCAGCAGGAGCCTATTGCTTACAGGTTTGGTGGGCTGAGAAAAGGCTCGCCTGTTGTGGTTGTGTGTGTGTGTGTGTGCCTTGTTTGCCTGAGGGACCTACTAAGCAAGCATCGCCTTTTGCCTTCCCTTTGGAGCCCCTTTTCCCAGAGCTGCTTCTTTGCCAGAAGCAAGAAGAGGAGGAGGAGGAGGAGGAAGAGGAGAAAAGAAAAAGAAGAGCTTTCCAAAAAGGGAACCCCCTCCTGGAGCAGGTTTCTTTTCTTCAGAGCTTTCTGGGTTTTTATTCTTCAGAGCTTTCTGGGCTTTCTGTTTTGGTTAATGGTAAGTGTGCCTTATTTGCTGCAGTGCTTTCTCTCCCCCTCTGCCTCATTCCCCCCCTTTTCCCTGGATCATTGCTAAGCCTTACCATGACCTTCATTTCCAGTCGCATTTATTTTATTTCTCCTCTCCTCCTCTCACAGAGGGACAGGGGCTTCCAGAACTCAAGGCAAGTTTGCCTTCTGTGATGGTATTCAGCCATTTCCCCCAAAACCTCTGCCTTAAAGTCCCTTTTGTCCTTGAAAAGGGAGGCATAGAAACCTGGTGGTGATGGTGAGTGCCATGCTATAGCAATGGATAGGAACCCTGTAGAAGTGAGCCATGGCATGCTTGGTAAAGGTGTTGCCTCTGGCATTGGGGAGGTCTCCAACACACACACACACACACACACACACACACACACAAATGCACAAATATAGTCCTGTCCTCTAAAGAAGAATTTAGAGACAGGGATGAAGAAGCCACCTGTCTAATCCCTGGGCTTCAGTAAGAGACAACATAGGTGTGTGTTGTTGTTGTTGGATGCCTTCAAGTCATTTCTGAGTTGTGGTGGCCCTATCATGGGGTTTCCTTGGTTTGTGCAGTGGTTTGTCATTGCCTCTCTCTGAGGCTGAGAGAGTGTGACTTGCCCAAGGTCACCCAGTGGGTTTCATGGCCCAGCCGGGATTCGAACCCTGGTCTCCAGAGGCATAGTCCAACACTCCAACCACTACACCTCACTGCCTCCCCTGCGGGCCAGCATTTTTCCCCCTGTGGTCCTTGAGACAGCAGCATTTGAAATGGGAACAATTCAAAACCAGAAGGTAATGCACACATTTAGGGGAACTCTCCTTTGTGTTGGTGAAGCCCAGTTTTTCCTTTTCCTTTGCTTAGAAGGAAAAGGAAAAGGGACAACATCATCTAGTCACACTTCTGTCCCTCTAATCATTTTGAACATCCCCGAAATTCAGTGTTTTACAACTCTAGGGAGAAATAAAACTGTAGGGAGAAGGGGAGTCTGCTTGCTTTACATTAACTTTGCTCTGAGTCAATAAAACTTTAATTTTGATTGCCCAGGTTGCAGTGTGATAAATATTTAGGGTAAGAAAACACTATGTTGGGTAATAAACAATATTTAGGGTAATAAACAGCAATGTTTCAGTATATTAGCATAGTGTTTAGATGTTTTAGCATTTTCTGTTGTTGTGTTTTATTGTCCCATTTTGATTGTACATGTTTGGTGGAAAGGGCATTACAAATAAATGTTATTACGGTATTAGTAATGTAGTGGAATATTGCAGTCTCCTAGTTATTAAGTCCTTATAGCTCCCTTCTTTTTGCCTTTAAAAAGACAATCGTGTAACCTATGCTGCACTTTAATTAGTATGAGCTCGTACTCCGCTTTTCCTTTATATGAACGTCATAGAATCATAGAGTTGGAAGAGAAGATGCCACAGTTTTGATAATTCCGTTATGTTGTATCATAAACATTGGAAGGTCTACAAAATAAAATCCAGGGCTTCATTATAAACGTGTTTACAAGCTTAAGACCCACACATTTGGTGTCTTGTACATGAGCCAGGATCCCATGTGTCTCCAGTGTAAAGCCACTTGCCTTTAAAATTTGCAGAGGCATGCTTCTCAGCTTTGTCATCAGCATAAATGGTAGCCTAGGGAGCAATCCAGGGTCATGTTGTGCGATAAACTGTCTGACAAGGTGATCAGGTCTGCCAGCATCTGACAACACTGATCACATCTTAGGAAAAAGAAGTGTCCATAAGCACCACATTAGATCCATAACCTTCTGCTCTTTCTGATACTCCCTGCTTTTCCTTGGAACCGGGCTAGCAAGTTTCTTTCACCTGTTTTAATTTCTTTGTTTTCCTGAATACTTGCAGCTGACAGAGTTACAGTAATTTAAACTATGGGGTTAAATCAACAAATATTGCAAACAAACATATATAGTACATAGAGGTTTTTGTGTGTGGAGGGGGGACTATGCCTCAGGCCTCTTCTATAGAGTCAAACAAGTCCTATATACATATGCCTGGGATTAGGATTAAATGGATTTAATAGGACTTACTTTTGAGTAGGCATGCCTCTGATTGAACGGTTAAACCCTTCATGTCAATGGGACAAAAAAGAATTGACCCTGACCTTTCAGAACTAATGTGGATATTACACTATTAATGAGAAAATCTTGAATTAGTTAATTATTCACCTTGTGGCTTGGGTAATACAATTTATAGAATAATGTTATATTCCTGAGAATTATAGCCATGTCTACTTTTATTAGCTAAGCTATTAATCCTATGCTCAGCATTACCATTGGTCTCCTTTTTTAATGAACTAATAGATTGTAAATCACTATTTAGAATTTAAAAGTCATGCACAGTGAATTGTGGCAGTAGATCCACTGGATAGACTTGCATAAACTGTAAGAATTGATTATGAATGCATAATAAGGGTAATGTCCTTTTGAACAGGTGATTAAAGGACTTGGGCTACAATGGTAATAGTAACACATTTGAGTCTGGGGGAAATGGAGTGGGATCAGGTCTATAATTTTTCTTCAAAATGTGATGGTTGGGGATTCTGGGATTTATAATCCAAACATAATTTATTCTGGTGTGGAGAACATGTGACACTCCAGGTATTGTTGCACTATGACTCTCATAACTCCTCACAGTCAGCTGTGTTGTCTAGGGATAATGGGTGTGGAGTCCAATAACATCTGGAGGCCCATTGCCATACATTCTCAATCAAACTATACTGACTAATATAGGGCCTTTGCAGACTGCCAGAAATAGTGCAAATTGAGTCCACTTTAAGGGTTAGGGTTAGTGCTAGGGAATCATGGGAATTGTGTTTTTTTCCCCCTGAGATATTGAGCCTTCTCTGTCAGAGAGATCTGGTGCCACAATAAAATACAGTTCCCATGATTCCCTAACCCTAACCCTAACCCTTAAAGTGGACTTAATTTGCACTATTTCTAGCAGTCTGCAAAGGCCCTAAGGCTAAGACATTCTTCACTTTCTGTTCCTGAGTGTTTTAGTGTGAATAGCATTGCAAATATCCTGTTTCTCAATATATAGAGCTAGCAGAGGCACTGATTCCATTCCTTTGTGTACAATACACATACGTATACACAAAGAGGAGAAGCACTGCAGAAAAATTATTTCGGAGCAACTTGTTTCTAACAATTGAGCAAGTGAGCCAGTTTGCATGCCTCAGGATTATATGATTATATTGATTATTGTTGTTATTACTAGTTCTTGGGGTTTTCTTGGCAAAATCTCCACATGGGTTTTGCCATGACTTTTCTGGGGCTGAGAGAGTGTGTATGCATATATATTTTTAATGTTTAATTTTTTTAATTTTTTAATTTTAATTTTTATTTATTTATTTATTTATTTATTTTTGGTGCTTCGGCCCCCCCAATTGTCTGAGGGACAGCAACCCGGCCCCCAGCTCAAAAAGGTTGCCTCCCCCTGGTCTAAGGTTTAGGGATCTAAGTAGATCCTCACTAGATTGCAGGTATCAGGATCTTTGAGGTTTGCTGCATTGGGCTTAGGTAGGAGCATCTCATATTCTCTGCCTTTGCTGGTTTATTTTCTAAGCATAGTGTGGAAACACCTTCTATGACATTTTTGTTATCATTATTAGGATGCTGACACAGTAGTGTTCTTGTATTTTATGTATAATGTGCATTGCAAAAGTTGTTTAGCACACGCCAAAATGGTGGAAGTCTTGCCAGTTCCTGGAGGCCCATAGAAGAAAAGATGAGACAATCAAGTGCTTTTTAGTACCACCATTGAAGTGTTTGGGTGCTGCATAGTAAATGATCCTTTTAAAATGCATGAGATTTGTTTCTTGACCAGGTGAGGTGAGGATGTCTGATTTATGATTTGTTCATAGCACTGATGCAACAGTGTTGGTTGACTGAACTTTATATTGTGTTACTGAATTCTAGAGGAATAGCAGTAGACTCCATCCAAAATAACATTGCCAAATGCTTGTAGGGAATCACAATCCTCTCTGAGTCCTAGTTCACACTTCTGTTCAGATGCAGCACCTGCTGAGTCAAATTTGCTGGCATTACTTTTTACCCTGCAACCATTGGCCTACGTCCATCTTCATGCTAGCACCGGACTGCTATTGAAATGAAACATTATTTCTGTCACCTCTCCCCTGCAGCCTTCCACTCCCCGGGAAAACTAGCTCTGTAGAAAGCATCCTATAAGTAGAACCATGGTATTGTGGTCTTGGTTAAATAGTTATGATCAGGGATTGTTTGTACAAGGTTATGAGGACAGGCCATGCTAGCTAAACATCCAAGCACATGCCAAAACAAAGAAAATAAATGATTTATCATTTAATCCCTTGATGAGAGACAGAAGACCATAATTACTTTGGCAAGTTCTTTTCTTGCTACATCAGAAGAGGTGCAAATATAATATTGGCAATAAACATATAAGCAGGGAATAGATGATTTGTATTAATTCCATCCAGTTCCCAGGTTACCTCTGCCACATTCTAGCTTGATCAGGAAATGAAATCTAGAACAAATCATTCAGAAGAACAGGAATAGCAATGTAGAGAGAAGTAGGAATGGCCATTTTGCTTCCATAGAACAAAGCAGATATGTTGATCTTGCCAACATGGTTAAGGAGGCAGATAGTGCCTTTTCTCCCTGAGATTGGGTAACCAAGCCTTCAGAGTATATCCAGAAGCAACTCAGGCAAGTGAACTAGGATTTTCTAGCAAAAAATTATAAGAACTTCACCAAACTACAAATCCCAGGATTCTGTATGATGGAGACATAACAAAGAAAGTGATATCAAACTGTGTAACTGTATGATATAATTACAGAGTTTCATAGGGAACCAGATTGTGCTGTTACATTACGCCCTCTGTCCCCTCCATGTGTTTGTTGCTTCTTTGCTTACTTGAACCATTTTAATTTTTCTCTTTGTCTTGAAAAGTCTCCTGGAGCATCTAGCATAAGATCAGTAAAAACGAGACAGTCTCTGCCTGTACGTTTGCTGTCTAAAAGGAGTAACAAGGGATGAATAAGGGATGAGGTGAGAAGAGGAAATCAAGAATAACTTATCAGAAGTATGATAGGAATTTAATTAGAATGAAAAGAAAAGAAGGAAGTTTAAAATACTGATATACAAGTCCAGAGAACATTACTGTTGCTGCTGCTATTTTATTCATTCCTATCCCACCTTTTCCCCAATACTGAGACTCAAGATAGCTTATAAAATATTAAACCCAATGCATACAAAATGTCAATGTATTGGGGAGATGGTAAATGTATAAAATCTGGAAATACACTTAAGCAATGTATAGAATTAAAAGCATTTAAATAATCATTGCAAGAAAGAAGATAAAAATCAACAATGCAGTACACTATTAAAAGTCCTGGTTGTCAATTTCTAAAAGCCTGTGAGAACAGAAAGAGTTTCACTTGCCAGAGGAAACATAGCAAGAAAGGGTCCATCCTAACCTCACTAGGGAGGGAGTTCCAAAGTCTTGGAGTAGCCACCAAGAAGGTCTCTCCCTTGTTCCCACTAAATATGTCTGAGAGGGAGGTGAGACTGAAATAATAATAATAATAATAATAATAATAATAATAATAATAATAATAAGTTTATTTATATCCCGCCCCTTTGAGATCAGTCGGGATGGCTAACAAGAATAGGCCTATTCCAGTGATCATAGTGTTTGGACAGGCTCATA